GAGTTCCTGTGCGGCCTCCTGGACCTGTGCATCCCGCTGGAGCTGCGCTTCCTGGGCGCCTGCCTGGAGGACCTGGCCCGCAAGGACTATCATTCCCTGCGGGACTGCGAGATCAAGGCCAACAACCCCGCCGACCTGGGGAGCCTCACCAACCTGACGGACGAGGTGGTGCGCAGCAAACTTTTGGTCTCTCTCGCCCTCCTGGGGTCCGCCCACCGAGAGGCAGCCGGGGTCCTCTTCCGTACCCTCACCCACATCGACTCGGTCATCAACAACTACGGGCTACAACTCAATGAGGGCCGCACGGGGGATGAGTTCCTGTTGCTCTTCACCATGGCGTCCAACCACCCTGCTTTCAGCTTCCACCAGAAGCAGGTGTTGAGGCAAGAGCTCACCCAGATCCAGAACATCATGGCCAGCACCAGCAAGAATCCCAGCACCTCTACCCTCAACACCATGGCAACCTATCCTGGCTGCCATAAGGTGAGTATCCTGCTTTTGCACACCATCGTGGTGCTGCTGCAGGGCACTGGGTTGTGTCTTCAGCTCTGGTTCTAAAGCTGTTCAGGCATTCTAGTGATAAATGGCAGCCTTAAGAGACTGGCAGAGGTGACTTGGTTGCTGATGGGGTTGGTGAATTGAGAGCAAAAAGAAGGGATGTGTGGGGCTTTTATGAGCTCCTGATGCTTAAATGAGAAGGGGTCCACAAACTGATAACAGGCAACACTGTAAGCCTTAACTGATTGCTTCTGGCAGTACATCTGAGGAGATGGTCCTACCAGTTGTATGGAAGACCAGTGATTTAGTAGGGGACACAAAACATGTATTATCTCTGGATTCAGGAACAAGCATCTCTTAAGTTTCCCTGGGAGAAGTTGGAAAGGGAGATCAGCTTTGGGAGTAGCTGTCCAGTGGCAAAGGCATCTTGGTGAGCCTGGGTTTTGTTTGTACGAGTGTGATGGCAAACGTTTTGAGTTCCTGATATTCAAGTGAAGGAAATGTTATGGTTGCCTGTCACCCTGAATCTCTCAGGTGTTGATCCTGGAGTTAGTAGTTCACTGTCATTACCTTGCTGTTCCTTCATTCAGTTGCCAGCAATTAAGCTGGACAGTAACGTTTTAAGAGCTGGTGTTAGTAATTAGGTGTGTTAATGACTACATAAGTGCTCTTAGCCTGCTACACATTAGGGAGTCAAACGGTCTTTTTGACTGAATTTAATCTCCTTGAAACTTCTAACGAAGTATCTGCTAAGTGGGTGTGTATGATCAGTTAACAGGCTGTGGCTTTTGAGGATGCAGGGTCTCAGTCAGCAAATAACTCTTTCC